TTCTGACCACTTTGGAGCACTTCCCCGGAAAGAATCTTCAAGTTCTTGACCTTCGGTCCAACTTGCTTCAAGGGCCAATTCTGTCAACTTGGTTGAAACTTCAAAATCCAAATCCACCATCGTCTTTTACTGATTTCTTAATTTCAAGAAATTACTTGACCGGAAATATCCCTCTTTTGATTTGTAATTGGAGTTCGCTTGAAAGGCTTGACTTGTCAAGAAATAACTTGGATGGAACTATTCCAGAATGTCTTGGGAATTTCAGCTATTCTCTCCAGTTTATGAATTTGGAGATGAATAAGTTTTATGGCAAAGTCCCTGATTCTTTTACAAATAATAGCTTGAGTTATCTTCTCCTCAATGACAATCATTTGGAAGGATTGCTACCACGATCTTTGGCTAATTGTAGTTCCTTGTTCCTTTTGAATTTAAGGAACAACAAGTTCACTGATACCTTTCCCTATTGGTTAGCTTCACTTCCAAGGCTGCAAGTTCTTCTTCTACGAAATAATAGCTTGCATGGTCCCATGCCCAATTCCATAGCTTCATCAAACTTCTCCGCATTGCGAGTACTTGATCTCTCTCATAATGAGTTCAGCGGCCCCTTGCCAACAAAATTCTTCCAAAATTTGAGAGCAATGAAAGATGTAACTAAAAGGATATTTTGGATTGTAGTCCCAACCAGTTTAGAAGCTCTCCTTGGCATAGTTAATGAACATTACTGTACTCCTGTAAATGTAACAACCAAAAGATTGGAGACTGAGTTGATGAAAACCTTAGCCATTTTCAGATCTATGGACTTTTCGAACAATCTATTCTGTGGACAAATTCCTGAGGAACTCGGAGAACTTATTTCACTCCAAGCGCTCAACTACTCTAGCAACAATTTGACTGGTCCTATCCCATCATCTTTCGGAAACATGGTAGCACTTGAATCGTTAGATCTCTCGTCAAACAAGCTTAGTGGCAGAATTCCATCCCAATTGACGAATCTGACATTCCTTGCAGTGTTAAATCTATCACAAAATGCTCTTGTCGGGCCAATTCCCCATGGGAAGCAATTTGATACTTTTGAGAACGATTCTTATAGTGGGAACTTGGGACTGTGTGGCCTCCCAATGTCAAAGCAATGTGGCAACGATGAGGAGCCAAAACTACCGGTACCAATGTTTAAGGAAGATGAAGGTTCTGAAATAGCCTTTATTTGGAAAGTTGTAATGATGGGCTATGGATGTGGAGTGGTGTTAGGATTGAGCATGGGATACATTGTATTCACAACAGGAAGACCATGGTGGTTTATCAGAATGGTTGAGAGAGATTGGCAAAACAATGTTACAAAGTGGATTCGCAGAAGCAGAAGAAGAAACTAGCACTACATCCAGATCCTGCATAGGTGATGTTTCCTTTTCTTTTTTCTACTTGTCAGGGTGACTTTCGAACTGAATCTAATGCAAGAGTCTATGCAGACAAGTCTATATGGTACGATTTTATCATGTATGCATACAACAGTTAACACGCTTCATGCCTTTACTTTCTAACATGGTAGTTTGCCCGTCTTCTTTAATTTCCTTTTTGAATTCCCCCTCCTCATCTTCTGTCACTATCTTCATTTCTTCCTCTTGGTTTGAATGCTTAACAATTACGTTAGCATATCTTTCAAAAAAAAAAAAACGATTACGTTAGCATGAGTCACATATCAATAACAATCTATAAATCATTAGATTGGTTTTTCCTACCACATATGTTAGTTTGATGTAGTAAGTAATTAAGGATCATTTGGTAATTGAAAAATAATTTGTTTACATAAATTGGATTTGATAATTCGTATCTCTGTATTTTAATCGTATTGTGTAAATATAGAATATTAACAATTTTATATGTAAATATGAATACGATATGATTAACTAATCGATGTCAGGATCTGAAACACATATATGGATACGTATAATAATTATGTAATTTGACTCAATATGACTAACACATTTATTATATATGTCAAGTTTTAAGTTTTATACACACGACATAATTAAAAACTTGACAATGAATAAATCTTTTCAAGTTGAGAAGACTTGACTTTAAATGCATTAATGGAAAACAACTTGAAAGATTTTAGAAAGACTTGTTGATTGACTTGAAAAGGAGATGTCTCCACTGCTTCTTCTATTTTTATGTCCCTCGCCCTGCCTCAGCCACAACTCATTTTTAAGTTCACCTCCATAACTTGACCCTTTTCGACAACCCTTGTTTCATACTTTCCTTTTTCCTCGAGAAAATCTGGGAAAAGTAATTAGGATGTTGTACCAAATCCTTTGCCTGCTTTTAACGCTCTTGCATTTCCAGGTTCATTGTTCATTGAGTTCCCCTCCCTCTTTTCTTCCTTCAGCTCACTTATGCCTCCCAGAACAGAGAGCTGCCTTGCTCGAATTCAAAAACACTATTTCTGTCTATGATGATTGTGGTTATTACCTAAGGATAAATTCTTGGAATGAAAGCACGGATTGCTGTTCATGGGATGGAGTTAGTTGCCACATGGTGACGGGTCATGTTATTGGCATCGACCTCAGTGACAGCTGCCTTGATGGTACTCTCCCTGCAAACAGCAGCCTCTTCCACCTTCAAAGACTTCAACTGCTCGACCTTAGCTCAAACGGGCTTTGTGGCTTTCTCCCTGCAAACAACAGCCTCTTCCCCCTTCAAGGACTCCAACGACTCAACCTTGCTTTGAACAATTTCAATGGCTTTATCTCATCGGAGTTATTTAATCAGTTTGTGAGTTTGACCCATCTTAATCTCTCATATTCTGGATTCTCTGACTTAATCCCGCATGAAATCAGTTTTCTATCAAAATTGGTCTCACTAGATCTTTCTCAT